ATAAAGAAATTATTATATACACAATCAATGGAATATAAGTTTTAAAACAGAAGGAAATCCATTTGTGAAAATGTGGATGAACTTGGAGGACAAGTGAAATAAACCAGATATACAAAAAAAATGCATGGTATGACTTATATCTGGAATCTAAAATAGTCAAACTGAGAGAAATAGTAGAATGGTGGTTGCCAGGGACTAGGACACAGGCGAAATGAGAAGATGTTGGTCACAAAGTACAAACTTTCAGTTATAAGATGAATAAGCACTAGAGAGCTAATATACAGCATGGCAACTGTAGTTAATAATAATTTATTATGTACTTGAAAAACAGTTACATGCTTAAAGCCAAATAAAATATCAACTTAAAAAAAAACACTCTCTGCTCAATCTGGGTAAACAAGTGTGTATCTAGTCATTTCACATTCATGTTTATTTATCTCTCCTTTCTCTACAGTATTACAACCACTAACACAATTTTCATTAATAATTAGCAAAAGAAAAACTAAGCATCGTAAAATAATGTTACAATGAAACAAAGTATACATGTAATTATTGGAAAATACTGTTATAAGGAATATTATGTCAGAGAAAATCAATAAGATGCTTCTACTTTGGTACTTGAGAATTATATATCAAAATTTATTATAAATAGCAAATACTATCCTCGGGTCTTTTCATCTTGGTTGTTATCATTTTTTTAACTATGTTCTGAGGGGCCCATAGTAATTTTTCTACTGTGAGACTCTTGCTTGATCTATTTAGGATTTATAATGGACACTGGTATCTATCTTACCCCTTCTGATTTATTAGAGAAACTCAATTTTTTTCAGATAGATAATGTCTTGAGCTCAAGTAAAATATACACATATTAAGGTCCCTTTGTGATCAGGTAGCACTGACCACTTGTACTTATCCTAGTAAAGTACATACAGATAAATAAATGTCTTCTGAGGCTTCTGTAGAAGTGTTTGCTTTTCCTAAGCAGGAGCCCAGATGCAGCTGACGTTGCCCTCCTCCCCATCTTAATCTTGCCTTGAACTTTGAAATAATCTTAAAATTGGGAAGTGATAGGTGTTAGAGAAAAGCCAAACAAATTTCAGCAACATCCATCCACCTCCTTCAATAGCTGAACCAATAGTGCATCTGCATGTCTTCAGACTGCTTGTTGCATGGGACGAATAAACCACTATTTGTTTTGGCTGTTGTTAGTTGAGTTTTGTGTCATGCATTGGGAAGCTTATTTCTAACAGGTAGTCTACTACAAACAGTAATTTCATTTTCACACAAACATTATACTGCAATTATTATTTGTGTCAATAATTATTTTCTAAGATAAATCTAATTAAAATACTAAAATCAATCCTACTTTAAGCCAGCATGTTCCAGGATATATTCCAAAGACTATAAATTCATTGAGATATTAATAGATGTTATATTGAAAACTAAGTAGAGGATGAAATATGGGAGGGAATGTCATTCTTTGATAATTGATTTTTTGTTAACTGTGGGACTTCTTCACTTTTGGACCATTTAGAACTCCCAAAAAACGATCTTGTTGGACTGATTTATAGTTCAGGAAAGACATTTTAGGAAATACTGCTTTAAGCCATTCATTCCTTGATTTGTTCTTGCAACAAAAATGATCAAATGCCTTTCATGTTCCATGATCGTACTGCTTTATCACTCAATCCATATTGCCATCCTACTGTTGTCCAAGATTTAGTTATTACCATTCCTTCTACTTCTGGATCCATGGAAGGAGCTCTTGATGGTAGATTTCTAGCTACATGTTAATGATTATTTAACATGAAAGGTTAATTATCTAAACACATTGTATTTATGTGCAGATAATACCAGCCATTCATATCTAATCCACTCTGTTATTTGCCTCACTAATAACTATTTCTATTTTAACTCACTGCCCTCAAGTGATGCCCAAAACTTTGATTTCTCTAGTCAATCAATCCCAGGCTGCTAAAGATATCACAATCATGTGTTTAATTTTTCTACTTTCTGTATTTCCAGTTTTGCTGTCTACAAATGTTTAAAATGATTACCATTGATTTCCTCATGCTTTTACTAACATCAAAGTACTACAAGACTGGAAGAAGCAGGTTGTGCGTTTAACATCTGAAACTTCAGCCGATTTTCTCGAAGAGAGACTAATCCTTCTCAGTAGCCAGACTCAGAGCAGAGTTCTCACTCTTCCTTCTTCCATCCCGCTTTTCATACATTCCTAAGATGCAGAGGGCAACCTGGTTAATCTTGAACCTGGAAAATACCTGGAAAGAGCATTTAATCTCTTCCCCTTCTTTGAGTGGAAAGTTCTGCAGATAGATGAGAAACTGTAAAATTTAACCATTTCAATATTTATCAGTCATCACTGTTAGGAACTTCCTCCACATAACTAGCTTTCGTGTCTCAGCCAAGGCCTAGAGACATTTCTTAATCTTTCTTTTGACTAGAGGACTTATTGGAGGGCTTTGACTGGAGTGATCAGTGAGCAAAGAAACTGGACTATAATTTGCTGGTCATTGCTAACCAGGGTCACTCTGGTTCAAAGCGGGTGTACCAGATGGTTTTATTTGATGATAGAAGCACATGCAAAGTATTTTTGTTCATATTCATTCTTTTTAAGAGGAATAATTATTTTGTTACATCTTTGATCTTGAGATCATTAGTCAAATTTTAAAATATACTATTTCATGCAAGGTCCTTTGTGGAATAAACCAAATTATTAATTCAGCCTCTGCACAAAAAGACCTTAAAAGTTAGTCGGGGAGACAACATGCATAGACTTAAGATTATAACTATCATCATCAAACAAAGATAGCATAGGTAAATAAGTAGTATAGGAAAAGGTGACCTGTATGTGTTAGCAAGGTCTGCGAGAAATGTACAAAGTTTAATTTTTAAATGTAAAAATATGTTTCTATAAGTTTGCCATATTTCACATCTTCATTTAAGAGAGATACTGAACTGATACCTAATTTATATTTTGTGGCCCTAAAAACATTCTTTTGTAAATATATTATCTAATATAGTTAATTGTAAATATGTAAGTTAGGAAAAGAATAAAACAAAATTTTTATTAAAAATAAAAGGAAGAGACTAAAATAAATTGACTTCTATTGGTTTGTCCAGAATGTTTGTAGAGCAAAAGAATACTGAATCAAATATAGTAATTTCAGGGATGTTAAGAAAAACGTGAGGGCAGGTGTAGTAGCTGACACCTATAATCCCAACACTTTGGGAGGCCAGGGCGGGAGGATCGCTTGAGGCCAGGAGTTTGAGAACAGCGTTGGCAACATAGGGAGACCCTGTCTCTATTAAAAAAAGAGAGAGAGACAAAGAAAAAAAGAAAAAATTGAACAAAAAATAAGCAATGTTCAACAGCAAATTCTACCAGCATTAAACCTTTCAAAATGAATTATGCTTTCTATCTTCATGTAAGGATTCATTGTATTCATGTTTTATTTGTTTTTGAAATGACATAGAATCAAAATCCTGGACTTTCTTTAAGTTCAAAATGGAATAAAGATTCTATCTATGAAAGCAAAGAAATGCCTCAATTTAAAAATCATTCCTTTTGGACCTGCTTATTTGTGGACCATTCTATGCTACATTGACTAATAACTGGACAGTGTTTATATGATAAATCTTCTGTGGTTAGGTAAAATAATGTCAAGTAATTAAATAGTACTACTATGAACTTAAAACTAATGAGAGTTCATACAACAGGTGCATATTTAAGATTTAACATTTTAAATAAATGTTAAATCATAAATCTTCATAAAGTCATTTTGAGTCATTTACATGTTTTTCACCAGCAAAGATAAGTTCATTAAGGAATTTGAACAATTTAGGCAGACCTATTCACAGACCCATTTTTACTATAATTTTGATGACACAAAATATGTTTGTTTTACAGGTTCTTCAGCAATACAGTCCCCTCATATGGTTATATGTGCTACCTTTACACCTCTCTATTTGTTTGAAAAGAAGATCTTTGCATTAGAGAAGATGGTAAGCAGTCAAGACCAGGAAATACAATGTCATTTATGTTAATTGTGCACGCACGCGTGCGTGCGTGTGTGTGTGTATGTGTGTGTGTGCGCGCATTGTAGAAGGGGCACCAGAATTTAATTAAAATTCTATCCCTGGATTTCATTTCCCTTATATTTAAAATTAAGTACTTGACCTAAGGGACCTGGCCTAGCCAAAATTATCTTAGATTATTGCAATAGTTCTAATTATAAAAAAAAGAAAAAATATATAGTCACATTTAATTTTTGTAGGTCCTTCTATTATATATAAAAGGAAAGATATAAAATTTATATTTTTTCAGTGAAACTCATGGAAATCATTTCTAGATAATAATTGATGACCTTCCCATAAATTGGCCACACATATATTCTTAACGTAAGATTATTTAAATGAATTCACCCTCAGGCTGGAGAGCCACTGCTGTGATCTTCCTTGTATCGTAAAGTAATATAAAATAAATGATTATTAATTTTTGTCTTACAAATTTAACAAATTGTAGAAAATTTAGAAAATGTAGTCAAAGAGAATACAGTTAAAATATTCATAGTATAAGTGGCTGGTCATAGGCAATATTAACATTTTGGCATATATCTTTTGATTTTTCTTCTATGTGTTCATTCTGTGTTTGTATGTGTGTACTTTTTTTACAGAGTGAAATCATACTTTATGTTCCATTTGGAAACCAGCTCTTCACTTAATATATTATTAACATTTTTTCATGGTGTAAAGTTTTAGTCAATATATGTTTAATAGTTGTATAGTATTTATGCACTTTCATAATTTTTTAAGCTATCTTTTGTTCTTGGACAGAAAAATAAGTGTTCTCCTTCCCTTATAATGGTAAAGTTCACCAAATTACTAAACAATTTATTTAGACAAATTCCCTATCCATTTGGGGCTTTCTGGATCCTAACCCTGTTTGGAGACTTTAGACATCTAGCACTTTATTGCTAGGATTTGAGGTTCTGACATCACTACATCGAAGTATAAGAACAGATGATGCAGGGATATAATTACATATAAATGTTCATTTGGTCAGTTAGTAAAAGCTGAGTTTTAAAACTTGAATAGAAATTGGCTTGAAATGTAAATATTCCAATTGAATGATTGTTAGACTTTACTATGTGCATTACATTTGTCTCTTAGATTATGCCCAGGGGGTATAATGTTATCATTTGTCCTCTTCTTCTTTTTTCTTTCTTTCTTCTCCCCTTTTTTTAGATAGAAATCATTCCTTCCTGCAAAAATCTACCAAATAACAGTGGTCATACTGTAAAGAGGATAGGATAGAATGTACCATTATGAATATAGAGATTATGGTAGCTTCACTAATTTTAATCCAAAATTAAATAATATTGGCCATGGGTAAGTAGAAGAAACTAATTTAGACTGGATCTTCAAATCAGGATCATTCCACAATCCAAGTGTGTATCTAAAGCCTTTTCCAAATTGAGCCTCTTGTTGAGATTAGGGCTGGTCTTCTCATCTCTGATTTTTTTTTTTAACTTCTTTACATGCCACAGGCCTAGGTGCTGTCTCAGATATCCCTGAGAGTAAAGACTGCAACTCATAGGGCCACTAAAGAGCACCAGCCGTGCTTTGTGGAGTGCCGTGGCTTAGTGTCTGAGCAGTACTCAAATTCCTTTTAAAACCGCAAAATGAAAGCATAGGATGAACGCATTATAAAAAGAAAAGTATACAAAATAATCCACTTGAACTTTTGGTGTTGCTGCTGAGAAACTAAGATTTATACACAAAGTTAGTTTTGAATTTAAAAGGCTAATTAAAGACTAAAACCTCAGATCTGTTTATTCATTGGTTAATTTAACAGATGTTTATTAATTATGTAATATATGCCAAACAATGTGGTATGTTCTGAGGGTATACAAGTAAATAGACTAAAGTGTGTTCGAAGCAAAGGGAATTTTATGTTGGAAAGTCTGGAGATGAAGGAGATGCCACTGGGTTCAGGGAACTGCTAGAGATTGAACAGATTGTAAGGGGAGAAGTCTTAAAGGCAGCTTGGTGTATGGGTGAGAGTCAGGACATAGAAATTGTTACAAATCCTTCCTTTGGGGGCTGAAAATTATTTAAGGTGCTCAGAGGTTCTGGAATTAATCCACTGTCTGGAACAGTAATTAAGTGACCCTCAAGACTGTAATGAACTAACTATGGTATTATGATCTCCGTATCTTGCCTGCTGATTTTTATAGGTTAGCAGTTTATGAGAGTGAACTCGTTTCCCTGGTAAATATCAGAATATAATAGAGATATAATATTTTAACAATAAACCCATAGGAAACAATTTCTGTCCTAATGAAATTTTGTTAAATGGAGTACACTGCTCAAAGTTACTGCGCCAAAGACAGTGAGATCGAAAAGTAAAATAAAGTCAATAACTTACATTTATTTAAAGAAGTGGTGAAGAATACAAGAAAATCAATAACAAAACTTGGAAAAGAGCAAAATGTCATGAATTACCCTATATTATTCAACATCCTCCTCCTTTTGGGTATTCTAAATGGACATAGTTTTATTTAGATGGATGATCTGGGAATTTTAAAAAAGCCTCCCCCACCTCCTGTTTCTTTTAAAATGTTTGAAATGAGATGGAGTAAAAAGAATGAAAGGGTCTTAAGAAAGTAGACTTCTAATTTAAGTCTTATGCATGAATTATTCAGCAGACACATATTGAATGCTTATTCAATGATCCAGGCACTATTATAAATCCCTCTCTGCCCCTAATTGTAACCCAAGGAAACTTGAAATCCTTTAACATAGTTTCTTAACATTAAACTGTAACTATTATTAATAGCATTACTTTACATGAATTAGAAATATAGTGCAGTATGTTGAAAATAAAATGAAGTGTGAGGAATTGTCTTATTTAAGTTTCTCATGCTTAAATCAAGTTAGTACTTTGGCAGATTATTGAAACTATAAATAGGTGCTAATACTGTACTTTGCTATTTGGACCAGTACTTTATATGTTCAAAGTGCTTTTTATTTTCTAACTCTCGACAAATCAAAAAAGAAAGTCTTTTTAGATTAAAATGTTGGTTGCAATCGTAAGGAGAAATTCATATACAGAGACCAAAAAATATGACTAATAAAATGTCTGGAACTTATTCAACTTGTAAATACTACTTTAAGTATGACTTCTATTTTGGATATTATTTAAATGTAACTTTTATAGTAGTGCACCTTTTTAAAAATACTATTCTGATGCATTGTCTCATTGAATAACCTAAAATTCTCCCCTAACTTTCCACTGAAAGGATTACTTTCAAGCGTTGAGTTGACTCCTAGAAAATTTTAAAACTTGGTAGGGTTAAACTTGTAGATAAAAGGTCTAGATTTTAGATCATCTATGAAATAGTTTATTTAAAACATTCTAAGACATAATTCCAGAAGTTTCTGAATTTTTTTGGCAAATTGCTAAAATCTACAAAAGGGATAAAGAGAAAATAAGAGTTCCTCTACTTGTTACTTAGGCCACTTTTTAAAAGTGTTGACTCACTTTTCTCTGTATTTTCAATATTTACAATACTTTCAAATGGCTTTGCATTAATGCACTGATTAACTCCTTCTTAAAATTATTTTTCTGGCTTTGGGAAGAACTCTCCTTTCTCATGGGTACTTTTATTTTTTGGCTCAGGGAAGTGTAGATTGAGCTCTATAGAAGCAGGGTCAGGAGAGCAAGGCAGATTCAAGTTGGAGTAATAATTTGGAATAGACTGATAACTAGGTTTCTGGTTCTAATTTAAAGAATTGTTTTGTAAATTTATAATCTCAATTGTTGCTATTGCATAGAAATCAATGATGCAAAATGATCGGAAAGAAAAATAGTTATTGGTGAAACTGACTTTAATGCAGTTAATATTTTATTTTATTTTACTTTAAATGTTAAAGAAATTTTTGAAAGTCAGAATATGGCTATAGTATATATTACTTTATCATTCACATATTTTTTTATTCCTTATGGCATATTTCAGCCATAAATCAGTAATTTAAGTTCTGCTTAAATGTTATTCTGAATTATTCCAAAGCAAACTGGCTTCAGGAGATCTGAACATTCGAATAGAGAAGTATCTGCCTGGGAAAACTACTTGATTTGGCAGGACACAGGAAGCCTTTATTCCCTGAACTTCTTTGAATGCCTCCATTGCCATGAATAATCATGGGAATTTCCTGTGGAGGAACCCGCTGTTAGTGATGAGGGCGTGAGCTGGAGATAAGCCAACCCCTTAACTACCTCATTGACCTGAACACACTCAAGACTGAATATTTTTGAACACTAGGTAGCAATTGCAAGTGATTAAAAAACAAACTTTACCTATTAAGCACTAGAGTTAAAGCTTTAACCTATAAAAATAACAGCTGATTAATTTTGGAACGAAACTGATAAGCTAAGATTTTTTTTTGCCATCTCATAGAATCTTAAGCTTTTAGAACTGAGAAGTGTCTTCCAGTTCTAATCTGTTACTTTGTAAATAAAGAAACAGCACTCCAGAAAATTTAAAAGATGGTGATAGTGATTATACAGAGAAATATGGGTGGTGATTTTTTCATTACCACTGTTATCAGTGTGGTGGTGATAGTATGTTTATATCTACAGAAGTATTATTTTAAATACAAGAGGCAATTGGAAGAATTCTTTTGAATCTTCTTTCCGTCTTTTAGGCAGATTCTGCTGAGAAACTTAGAGAATATGGTCTTTCACACATCTGTAGCCATCCTGTGCTGGTGACTAGAAGTAGGTCTTGTCCCCTGGTAGCACCACCAAAGCCACCTCCCATACCTCCCTGGAAACTCATTCGTCCAAAAAAAGAACAAGTTATAACAGATGAACCTCAAGGTATGTGTTGTTATCTTCAAATCTTTCTGATTATTTCTTCTCTATGAAAGTGTAATCATTTCATTTGTGGTGAAAGATGTATGTCAAGGCAAAGCACTCAACTTGCACCTGAAATCTACATTTAATTTTATGTTCAAATTTTATGTCTTTAAAGGATCCATTCTCCACATCTCAGAAGCTGAGCAGTTTGGTTCATATCTAAATCGGCCAGCTCTATCAAAGTCATTCTTTGAGTGATGGCATTGTTACTATTGGTGTGATAGAAAAGTAGTTTGCAGCAAACGATAAAGAAACTTAAGTAGCATATATGAAATCGCTGGAGTGAATTTCTAATGTGGAAATCACTATAGAGTATCCTGCAGAATATAATGTTTGAATTACGGATTTATATTTAAAACTCTTATAGGAATAGAACTTCTGCCCTGAACTGGCTCCTGTGTTAATACTGCCCTGTAGCTCCTTTGTGAGTGACAATGGCCTCAGAAATAAATAGGTTCCCATGGGCTCAGGGCAGGGAGGGGAGTGTTCCCACCTTGTTCTTATTCTTGCAATTCAGTTATAAATTCTATTTATGTCTGATTCTTCATTCCTTCAATTTTTGTTCTCTATAAGTCTTTACATTCTTACTCTTTTTTTCCATGAGCACCAAGTTCGAATGGAAGTGGGACCAAGATGGCAAGAGACCATACATGAAAAACCAATTTTAAAGCAGAAGCATTTAATATGAAGGGAGGGGATTAAAATAAGAATCATTAATAATTAGAAGAATAATACATAATTTGTATATGTTTATTCAACATATATAGCTTTCTCCTAGGTAATTTAGCATTTGTAGGAGGATGATGAAGATTTGGAGTGGTATGGATTATACACATGTGTGTGTGTTATATGTATATGTTCTCTTTCCAAGAGGCTTAAATTATCTTTGTTCAAAATAGCCTTTTGATAATATTAACATAATATTTCTTGATTATATTTCTTTGTTAATTTGTTTGCTTTTGCATTTTCTCCCTTTATCTTTTCTAATACTCTTTCTAATTCTACTATTTCAGTAACAGTATATCACATTCTAGAGGTTACTGAATTAGGAGCTGCATGCAGAGGTCTGTTACCTGCATGAACAACAAAGGCAAAACCACAATGAACATATATTGTGCCATTTACTGAAGGCATCTCTGCTAAGCTTATAACTGTGCTTTAAATGGTTGTTGCCATGAACCATGGACTATGGCTTGTGCCTCTACTGGTGGTGGAAATGTCTCTGAATTTCTGTGGTTCTTGCTGCTACACTGTTGCTAATTCTTCACTGCAAATGGCAGGAGAACCGTATCCTAGTGTAATACATAAATCTCAGGGGTACTCAGGATCCTAAAACTGCAGTAGCCACACAGATTGGAATATTTACCTGTTCCTTGCTTCCTACGTCCTGCCATAATTTATACATTTTAAAAATATAAATAACAACTGTTAACCATGTAATTTTCCTCACATTTGCTGTCTGCCTACATTGACACAGCCAATACAGCTGGTAGCAAAGATTTCTCTAGCACAACATATGTTATCCTTGCCAGAAAGAAACAAAGATTAAAGAAATATCTGGTTAGGATGTAGAGGAAAAATGATCAATTCATTTTTTACTTAGGTCCAACTTCCTCTTCCCTTCCTACTTAATTATTTCAATTATTTCCTTACATTCCTTGAGTTTCTGCAATGGGCTATTGGTGCCAACAAAGTACATCTGCTCTTTGGGTTAAAAGAACTTCCCAGCCTGCCTTCCTTCTTTCCTTCCTTCCTTCCTTTCTTCCTTCCTTCCTTCCTTCCTTCATTTCTTCCTGTCCTTTATTGTCTTTCTTGAACCAAAGATCAGCATCCACATAACAGTTGAAAGGAAAAAAAAATCATTTATTTTTCAATGCTATTTTAGTTAAATGCATGGAGCCACTTAAAATATTTGTTCATTCAGAGCATCAAGGAATAGCTGAATGAAAGTAAGAGTAGTGAACATACTAGTAACTTCTGATTTTGTTACTGATAGTTATATAATTCTAGGTAAATAAATATTCTTTTGTAAACTGGAGATGAATATCTAACATTTGGTAGAATTCCACAAGGGCAGTGGCCTGCCTAGAGGCTCATCACATAATTGTCTTTCTTCTCTCCATTGGATTCAATATTTAAAGTGAAAATTAACAGAAAATGGGGAAGGAGATCATTTTAGAGGACAAGACAGAACAATCTGAGAAAATTTATGTATACTGTGTCATAGCCTCACTTCTTTCCTAATAATCACTCCTAATTTCAGTGTTCACCATGGTGATACACATGCTGTGCCCATTATTCATGAAGAATTTCTTACTTCTAGATCACCTTTCAGGGTCTTTTAGGAATATCCACAAATCCTCTCCTGACCTGCTGCTTTCTTTTCTACTCATGAGCTTTTACTTTGTTACATTTTTTGTTCTTCCACTATTATCTCCTTATATTAGTTCACATTTCTTCTTCATGCCCTAAGCAACTGTGGTGTAGAGGTTAACTAAGGGAACTCATATTTTTAAGTAAAAAACTTGTATGAAAATTCATTCCTGTACTTGAAATAGCAAATGTCAAGGAATAACTCGATACGACATTGCTAACTTTCTCCTTTGAAACTTAATTGTTTCAAGTAATCTGGAAAGCAACCGAAGAATAGACAGAAGAAATCTAATATTGGCAAGATCTGTAAGCTCTTTCAATAAGAAAACCTTATGTATCTTTGCACATTCCTATTTAACTCTGTTGAGATTTCCTGAGTAAATAGCTAATCCAAACAGTTTGTATTAAATATTAAATTTTGCATGCAATTATAAAAGATTAAAAAAATGTACATCACACTTCCTAATTGTTATTTTTTAGATATAATAATAAAGAAACCTGAACAGTTTCTTGAGATTTCAAGTCCATTTCTGAATTATGGAATGACTCCGTTTACAATTCCAAAAGAAACGTAAGTGTATAACATTCTTTCTTACAAATGCATCTTGTTAACAGAATATTTTCTGATGTATGTGGTTAAAGATAACACTAAATGAGAGCATTTTAAAGAATATTTATTTAAAAATAAGGCTACACACACACACACACACACACACACACACACATATTAAAGGATATTTCCTTGACCTTTTATAGCTTACAATTACACAAATTCACTTAATTAAAAAATAGTTTTTGCTCACCTTTTATGTGTGAGTGTTATAGACTGAATTTTTATTTTCCCCCCAAATTCATATGTTAAAGTTCTAACCCCCAGTGTGGCTGTATTTGGAGATGGGGCCTCTAAGAAATTAATTAAGGTTAAATAAGGTCGTAAGGGTACGGTGCTGATCTGATAGGATTAGTGTCCTTACGAGGAGAGACACCAGAGGACGTGCTCTCTCTCTCTTTCTCCACGCACACATGGTGGAAAGGCCATGTGAGCACACAGAGAAAAGGCAGCTGTTCGCAAGCCAGGAAGAAAGCCCTCCTAAGAAACAAACCCTGCTGGCACCTGCCCTTTTTGAGCTCACACTTCCAGTCTCCAGAATTGTGAGGAAATAAATTTCTCTTATTTAAGCCACCTAGCCCATGGTATTTTGTTATGGCAGCCTGAGAAAACAAATGCAGTCTTTGGAACAGAGAAGTGGGATGTTGCTATAACAAATATCTAAAAATGTGAAGTGGCTTTGGAACTGGGTACCGGGTAAAGAGTGGAAGAGTTTAGGGATACATGCTAGAAAAAGTCTACATTACCTGAAGGGACTTTTGGTAGGTGAATCTGATAAGGACTCAGAAAGAAAAGAGGAGAGCACACTTCCATCTTCTTAGAGAATATACAATTATAAACAGAATGTTGGTATAAATATGGACAGTAAAGGCCTTTCTGGTAAGGTCTCAGGTGAAATGAAGAACATATTATTTGAAACTGGAGGAAAAGTAATCCTTGTTATAAAGTGGCAAAGAACTTGGCTGAATTGTGTTCTAGTGTTTTATGAAAGTTAGAACTTGCAAGCAATGATATTTGCTATTTAGCCGAGGAGATTTCCAAGTAAAATGTTGAAGGTGTGGCTGGGTTCTCCTGACTGCTTATAGTGAAAACACAAGAGAGAGATGAACTGAAGAAGGAATTGTTATGCAAAACGGAACCAGAGCATAAAGATTTGGAAAATTCTCAGCCTGTCCATATTGCAAAAAATGAGAAAGTGTGTTTTGAAGAGAACGCCAAGGGTGTAGTTAGACTATCACCAGATAAAAAGATTCTAGGATTATGCCCATAATCTTATCATGTGGTATAGATTATTTTAGCAGAAATACTACCAGTTTGAACTGAAAGAGATGAAAATGGGACCAAATGAAGGAAGGCTGTGAAATTTCTGGGACAGGACCATATAGCTATCCAGCTGCAAACATGTCTTATCCTTCAAGAAAAGGCCAGAATGACCCCTGAAGTGATGCACAAATCTTCTGGGCTGCTACTCCCACCACAGGCCCAGGGGGAAAAGCTGCTTTCTCCCAGATTTCAGCAGGCCAGCTGGGCCTCGCAGACAGCTAAGGGGGCTGGGCTGCCCTACAGAGCCTGGGGTGATGCTGCTCCTGCAGAGGGCCCAGAGGGCAGCACATCAAACAAAAGAGGAATATTCTTGAACTTTAAGCTCTAATGAAATTTGCCTTGCTAGGTTTTGGACTTACATGGGACTTGTCACCCCTTTCATCTTTCCTATTTCTCCCTTTTGAGCAAGGAATGTCTATCCTATTCCTCTCCCACCATTGTATTTGGAAGTACGTAACTGGTCTAGTTTCACAGGTTCATAGCTGGAGATGAATTTTGCCTTAGGATGAATCCTACCTCCCTGAGGCTCACCCATATGTGATGTAGATGATTATCAGATGAAACTTTGAGCTGCAGACTTTAAAGTTGATGCTGGAATGAGTTAAAACTTCTGTGGTCATTGGGATGGGGTAAGTGTATTTTGCCTGTGAGAAGGACATGAATTTGTGTGTGGGGGGGTCCATAGGTAGAATATTATGAACCAAAAGTTTGTCTCCCCTAAATTCATATATTTAACCCTAATTCCCATTGGGGCCATATTTGGAGATGGGCCTCTAAGGAAGTATTAAGGTGAAGTGAGGTCATAAGGAAGAGGCCCAGGACCAATAGGATTAGTGTCCTTTAAGAAGAAACAGAAAGTGCATCTCTGTCTCCAAATACTCGCACTGAGGAAAGGTCATGTGAGCACACAGCTTTAATTTTGTTATGGCAGCCCAAGCAGACTAATATAGCAAGACACTATATTTCACTTGAAGGTAGAAAAATAAGACTTTGCCCCTCATAGATATCAACTTCTGGGGAAAGCTGCATGTATTAATATAAGTATATAATTACAATAAAATATAATAATTACTATTATAAAGGCCTGTCTCAGATTCTATAGTTGTACCTCAAAGAACTTATTTTTCATAAATAATTGGAACCCTGAATGTAGGAGTCCTTGCTTCAGTGATTGTGCAGGAGGTGGGAGAACGGGTGGCTCTCCTGGATATCATGGCTCCTCATCTTCCCGGTGCTCATAAATGCATCCAGTGTTTGAGGTCCTGCCCTCCTTCTCTTCCCCCATCACCCAGGCATAATCTTCCAGTTAAAAGTTCACACTTCAGAGACACAATGGAAGCTTTGTCCTGAGGGTAACTATTGGGGTCAGCTGCTGTGAAGGTGATTGTATAATTAGCTCACCTGCCCTTGCCAAGATTCCTTTCCACACTGTCTCCAGTCCTTGGCTTTCCCCAAGCCTCTGCTGATTTAATTTAAGATTCACTGGGAAGGTTCTGGGTAATGTGACTGACTCTGCCCTCTTTGTTATCCTAATGGGATTATGGGGTTTTCTGCTCCGCTGTTTTGCCCTTAATCTTCTCATCTGTCTCTGAGGAATGTATCACCGCTCTCATTGTGGCATTTCTATTTTGCCAGTTCTGTGAGATTTTCCTTTTATTTTTTAATTTCTCTAAGATTCCAACAGAATATAGATGGAAGGAAAGGGGTACATTTGTATTTAGGCTGTTATCTTGAACTGGAATGCTAATCTCTTCTTGTAATTTCCCACTTTGGCTGTCCCTTCATCGGCATTTCTTCTCCCATGGCTATTCTCTTTCTCCTGTTCCTTATTCAGTTAGACCCAGACCTTACTTTACCTAAATTAGCCTCTACTTCCCTTTCCTTAAAACCAGCCAAACAAACAAACCCAAATCAAGAAAAATGTTCATGCAAATTATTTGCATTTACAGCAGAATTTTCTACAGGTTTCATGGAAAGTATTGATAGGTTGAGGAAGGCATTATATTTTGATGATATTTGAGCAACCTGTATAATAAAAAGGAAACACTGGATACTGCCACTCTTAAATCATTCAGCCGCTCCACTATGGGGGATTTCCATTGGCCACCATTATCAATAGTCTCCCAAGCTTCTCATCATGTTGGATAGTCTTGTCCATCTTTTCCCCTCTCCACCCTCCTGTTTCATTCTTACTCAGAGAGCAGGATAACTTGTCCTTTGTGTTCTGTTCTGCATCCTCAAAGACTAGCCTTAAAAGCCTTATCTTTTACCTTCCCTTTCCTGTCTTAGTCGGAGGCTTGCCCAAGCCACACCTAGGGCTGTGGTTGAGAACAGCAACAAAATGTGAGGAGTGGAGCCCATGACAGGAAGCAGCCCAGTGCAGCAGAAGCCCCTCCTTTGAAATTTTTCTGCCCCCCAGGCCTTTATACTCTGGGCCTGTGACAGAAGGGGCAGCCCCATTGATCTCCCAAATATCTTCAGGGTCATTCTTCCACTGCCTTTGACAATAGGTTCCTGGATGAATAGCTCCTAGCTTCTATTGAGATGACTGATCTATAGTAACCTCTTTATCAAATTTGGCCACATTTTCCATGTTCTCTCCCAAATAGTCTTTCTCATTTTTTCCAATATGGACAGGCTAAGAATTTTCCAAATCTATTTCTCTTTTCTACTATTAATATAAGGAGTCAACAGAAGTCAAGTTACATCTTCAGCACTTTACTTATAAATATTCTTAATCAAATATTTAATTTCATCTCCCACAAATACTACCTTGCACGAAAAACTAGAACACAAACATAATTCAGCCAAGTTCTTTGCCATTTTATAACAAGGTTGACCTTTCTTTCATTTTCCAATAACATGTTCCTCATTTCCATCTGAGTCCTCATCAGAATGGCCCTTACCATCCACAATTTTACTAACATTCAGTTCACAACTATTTAGGTATTCTCTGAGAATATTGAGGCAACTCTCCTCTTTTCTTTCCAGGCCCTTACCAGAATCACCTTTAAAGGTCTTTAT